ACTGCAAACTACACGTGCCTGCATGTCTGAATGTGGCCCTTGCGTCTAACTGACGTACCCAAGACTCTGCTCTACTACATACGGGCATTTCCTGTGATTCATACCAATATGGGATGGACTGTTTTGTGATCCACATAAGAGCTAGATGGCATCCCCCTCATATTTTTGTGCGAGACCAGCACACGTTGGAGATGAGTAGAATGTTCTTCCATGTCATAGAGTCTGAATTGCCACAGCTGTGTTTTATACTTTAAAAAATGCAAATCTTACATGAAGCTTTAGTAAACATTGAACTTGAGTAAAAGTGGAAGAGACCTAATATTAATGGAAATATATGTTACCATTTTGGCTGCTTTGCTTACAGACATTAAAAAAACCCAAACCTGCACTTTATTGGACGAAGCAGCGCGTTAGTTCAACCTGGCTTTGCAGTGTCTGTATAGATCAGGTGCTTCACTGGGGCTTTTTGGAGCTTTTATCTAAAGCCAATTCAATCAGCTATCAGATTAGAGTGCCAAAAAAACCCCACTGAAGCTCCCAATCTGTACAGACATTGGCAAACTGGGCCAACTAATGCAGTGCCTCTTCTGGTCATGTGCTGGGATTGGCATGGGAGCACACTGAGTTTAAAGTGCCATTTTTGGGTGTGTTTTTTTTTTTTTTTAACATCTGTAATCAGCCTTCACTTCCACACTGATAGCACCCAAAGCAGTACTTCACATGATCCTGAATACAGCATGAGCACCATCCTGTCCTGAACATGACAGTCGCCCCCAGCTGGCATAGTTGAGATGCAGTCAGTATGAACAATTTTTATATGCATTACATGCAAATTTCAATAACATGTTTTTGCATGTTTAAAAACATGTGATACATCTGACTAAGTCTTAGTCTCTGCTTAGCTGAGGCAAGAGTATCAATCCATCTAGCCCACTGGGTTATGGAAGGGTGCCTCGGGTCTAATGAAGGTTGCTTTGAGTCTATAATGTTGAGAACCACTGTTCTGGATGATGCCACTTTATAGTGTCCATATATTCAGAACCAAGAGTTTGTTTAGCTTCTGACTTTCTACCTCTTCTGCTTTGTCCATGACTGGCCATAAGAAACTGTACTCTCAGTCTACTAAGGAAAGCTTTTGGGGATTTTGTTTTGAATCGTATATTTGATTAAAGGGGGGCATGCATCCCATTCAAACAGGCCTGCTTTTCTAGAAGGTTGCTGGGCCTAGGGGAGGCACCCTGCAAGCTTGTGTATGTGGAAGTGACTTTTTCAACTAACCTTCTTGCGTGAGTCTTGTCACAGTTACAGTATTATCATCCATATAACATTTTACTTTTATTGTTGTCCATTTTGGTATTTCCAGAAAGATTAAATGTGCTGAAGCTGGATGTGTAAACACATGCAAACACCTCCTTGCCTTTGAATTTGCAAAGAAATCCTTGAATCGTTTTGAGACGTATTAATTTTTGGAAGGTAAAAATAAGACACATCTGGTACCACTGAAATGTGATATTAGAAACAATAATCTACCCCACTCTAATGTGGGGTAGATGTAAACTCCCAATGTTTTTTTCCGATTTGCCATTGTTTCTTTGAGGGCTGTCTGTTTTCAATTGCAGATGGCTGATTATTCAGCACTAGTATGGATTCATAAACTGTACTACCAATTCCTAATTGTTCTATATCATTCCTTTTTTCCCCCCCTTCACTTAAATTAGTATTATTCAATTTAAAGCACTATGAAAGAAAGAGACTTGGGGGTCATCATTGACCACAAGATGAACATGAGCCTGCAATGCAATGCTGCAGCTACTAAAGCGACCAAAATGCTGGCTTGCATCCATAGATGCTTCTCAAGCAAATCCCGGGACGTCATTCTCCCCTTGTACTCGGCCTTGGTGAGGCTGTAGCTGGAGTACTGCATCCAGTTTTGGGCTCCATAATTCAAAAAGGATGTGGAGAAGCTTGAGAGAGTCCAGAGAAGAGCCACGCGCATGATCAGAGGTCAGGAAAACAGACCTTACGACAACTGGCTGAGAGCAATGGGGCTCTTCAGCCTGGAAAAGCGCAGGCTCAGGGGTGATCTGATGGCCACCTATAAGTTTATCAGGGGTGACCACCAGGATCTGGGAGAACGTTTGTTCACCAGAGCGCCCCAAGGGATGACGAGGTTGAACCATCATAAACTACTACAAGACCATTTCAGGCTGGACATAAGGAAGAATGTCTTTACTGTCCAAGCCCCCAAGGTCTGGAACAGCCTGCCATCGGAGGCAGTTCAAGCACCTACATTGAACACCTTCAAGAGCAAATTGGATGCGTATCTTGCTGGGATCCTATGACCCCAGCTGACTTCCAGCCCTTTGGGCAGGGGGCTGGACTCGATGATCTTCTGAGGTCCCTTCCAGCCCTAGTGTCTATGAAATCTTAACTTAGTAAAGTGTTGCTTTCTGTGAAAATTGCAGTATTAACTGCAAGATTTTAAAATCTGATTTGTTTGGTAGTAACACAATCAGTATGAGAGAAAATAACTTATTTTTGAAAATAAGTTGATGAAGAAATTTTTTGCTAGTGTTGGACCAGTTTATTGCCAAAGGAGACATATTGCACAAATGCTATTTCTTCATTTGTTGTAAGAAATTTGTTCCTCTTTCTTTAGCATTATTTCCTGGATCATGCATCCTTTCATTGTAAAATCCAGTACCTTGTTAAGTGAAAAGTTAATAAATGCTAAAATATGCTTTTAAACAGAAAATCATTATAGATGGATTTCTGTTTTTAAATTTGTAGGGTTGTTTTTTTTTAATCTGTCAGATAGATGTCCAGCTTTGTACCAGCTTTTTTCTTCTTACTAACTAGTGCTGATCTACTGCTGGGCTGTCCAACTTCTAAGCTGCCCTGGGCTACACGTCTCATGGTTTACACCAGTGGGAGGCCACACACCCCGCAAGCCACACCAGGGCAAGCCATAGTCCCCCCAAGCTGTACACCCCATGGACATTACTCCTACTGCTGCACTGTGTGCCCGCAACCCTCCTGCCCCCACTGCACTGTGCACCCCAGCTCACACTCAGCTCATTCTGGAAAGCTTAAACACTGGGCTGCTCTTGAATATAACTTCAGTTTCTTAATGCTGTTTTGCAGCTTCATATGATTGGGTTTCCCATCCAGTTTGTCTTAGTGTGTCCATTCTGGATTTGTTATGAGACTTTACAGTGAGTCTTAAAAAGTGAGATCCCGTAGTTTGGATCTCCAAGGGTCAGTCCTGTGATTCCTGTCTGCCAAGAATGTGATAGTTGAGGTGTGGGAGTGGTAAAAGCTTTACATGGGGGTTTCAAAAGAGAAATGCTGGGGGGCTACCTTGGCAGGAAAACAAAAGCTTAGTTTGCTTGCTAAATTGTATGAATGCAGGAATTCCAGTCAATCTGGCCTGGTGAATATGATCAATACACACTTACAGGGAGGAAGCTTCTGCTTTTAAATTAACTGAAAGGAAGATGGATCTTATATGTGTTTGTGAACTAATTCAAAGCTGCTCGAGCATAACGTTTTGTTTTCATTGTTGACAGAAAAGGTACAGACTAGGTACAGAAAAGGTACAAAAGAAGACATGTCAACCAGGACATCGGTATATAAAACATTGCTGAAAAGAATTTTTAAATTCTGAGGGTAGTTGGGGTAGAAAGAAATGCTCTGTAGGGGGAAAAAATGCCTTCACCATCTGTATTGTCTTGTCTTCTAAAATATTTTAGATCTTCATTTAGTATGAATAGAATGTCTTAGTTATCTAAACCTATTCAGTTTTCAAAATCAGTAGGAAAAACCTTTCTAAAGCCCATGCCTTAAAAACAAGCTGAAAATAGAAAACGAAAAATGCTTTGATTCTGTAAAAATAAATAAATAAAATAAAATAAAATAAAATAATTGTCTCTACTGTGAAATAATTGGAGTTTGCCCTCAGGTAACATATTTATATTTAGAGTGATGTATTCATATTAAAACTGGTTTTAAAGAATGGCATTCATTTTACATTATAAACAGTAAATTGATCTGGAAAGTTTCTGCACACTACATACAGTATCTTATGAAATACCCAAATAATGTTAATATCAAAGTTTATAGTTTGACAAGCAAAGTAGATCAGCCAAAAGATTTTTAAATTGTTAATTGCCCCTACAATCTGTTTTTCATCTCTTTAAATTGAAATAGCTCATTCTGATCCAACTGTTTTTAAAGCTTCTTTTACTGACTTTCACATCTAAGAAACTCTTGTTTATATCACCACCTTTAAATCCTAACTCTTTTACTGGCTGTACCAGGAGTACCCTCTGGAGACTGGTTAATTTTGACTTCTAATGCAAAAATGTGAACTGAATAAATTTTAAAAGCTAGCTTGTGCTAAGATAACAACCAGTTGTCTTAATCAGACATTCAAACTGCAGAATTATAATCAAGAATTACAGCTGAAAACACATATGGGCAACCTACATGGTTTGTGCTATTTTAAGTTGCATTTTTTTCTGTAACAAGCTAGTTTCCTACTTCCAAGTGCAGGGTAATCTATCAATGTCTGCCATGGATTATGCCAATAGGATGTGCAGTAGGGGAAATCACCCTAGTCTTATGCAGCAGCTATCTCCTTTTAACCCTTGATGCAAGTCCATCCCATCTCGAAACAGTTATACATTCCAAAGATACAGATAAAATATGGATATGCCTGAGGGCTTGGAAATGTGCATGTGTACTGAGAAAATCATCACTCTCTCTTCCTCCACAGTTTACCTTTAAAAGAAGAAACTTCAGGCTCAGCTTTCTATAATTACTTTTACACAGCATTACAAATGGTCCATGATTCCAATGTTTTTGTCTAACAATGTGATGTTAATTGATTTTTGTTTTGTTTTACTTTGCATTGGGTTTCTGGAATGCTGAGCAAGTAAAGAAGTTATAAAATATTAATGACTAGTGATTTCATTATATATTTCTTGTTTCCCTTACAGTACTATGTGCAAAAAACTTGGTGAAAAAGGATTTTTTCCGTAAGTAGCTATTACAATTTATGTTCATATATGTGGCAAGTATTGCATAAGCTCTGTATACTGCTTCTCACATAGTAGTGCATTCACATTCCTCCCGTTTAAGGTTTTACTGGCATTCCCAACTCTTTTTTTTTTCAGGGTTTATAACTAAAAAGCAAATAAAAAACCTTCCAAACTTGGTGGACTGGTTTGGGAAAGCGTGTAACTAAGCTTTGTGATATCATACATCAAGAGTTTAGATCTAAAAATATTAATCCATATAGTGGTCAATGGTACAGTCTGTCTACTGCAGTATAATTTCCTGTTAATGTGCAGCATATTATTACAAAGCAAAACTAATCTGGAACTCGCATATGTCAAAGAGATATTAGTGCTGCTCCCAGTATAAAGACAGAATTTCAATCTCTCAAGCAAATTACATTCTTTCATAAAATTAGTACCATGTATGCATTGAAATATTTTGCCATTGATAGGCTCTTTTGGTCTTACAAACCACATACACATTTGTTATAATTAAAAAGTATGCCATGTGACAAATATGTTCGTAATATATATTCACATGCGCACACACCCTGAAGTGAAATGATTATAATTATATTTTATAAGGAAATATGAGGGAAATGGAGGAGCGAGAGAGGAATGTTTCTGATTACATAGGGTTGGTGGGGACAGGAGAGAATTCCAAAGGTCAGACCAAAACTTTAAAGATAACCTGCAAAGGGGAAAAATAAGGTTTTGTAGCTTTCTGAAGTACAGAGGCTTGTATTATTAACTGTGTAAAGAAGAGGCTGTCTCCTTAATATGCGTGTCTGAAGTTCCTAGCAGAGTCGGACTTCTAGCTTATTTAAAACTTGTAGGTGTCATTTTATTCAAAGTTAGTAAGGATAACTAAAATCCTGCTTGTACTTCCCTTAAAATATCAGGAATGCCTTCTCTGAGTTTGCTGGGATCCTTTCTGGTTTGTATACTGGGAGTTTACTAAGCTCTGATTTGAAGGGCTGAATATATTTAAAGTCTTACAATGAGGAATCTGTTCCCAGATGGTTCATTTTTTGATATAAACAAAACAGTTTTAAAGAATCTGAATAAGATCACTTTCCTTCAGTCAGGCTTCCTTTGCTTGGTGTATTATATGTTGTACTACTTGTCCAGTTATCCACAGTATCTTCTTAATTAGTTGAGACCTGAACAACTAATCTGAGAGAGAGAGAGACATTTTGGGGGAAAAAGGTCAACGATCAAAACTTTTTTTTTTTTTCTTTGCAGGTCACCTTTAAATAATATTGTTGCAAAGCCCAGGCTGTTGATTTGATAGTCAGTTTGACAGGATACTGTTGTCATTTTTTATACAAGAGACCCAAATTGTCTTCAAAAGGAGGCTAGATAGACACCTAGCCGGGGTCGTTTGACCCCAGTACTCTTTTTCCTGCCATGGCAGGGGGTTGGACTTGATGATCTGGTCAGGTCCCTTCCGACCCTATCAACTATGAAACTATGAATGTTTTTATAGATACAAAATAAGAAACATCTGAAAACTTTCAAAGCAATTTTTTTTTTAACACACACTTTGAATTTTCTTACAAAAAGATCATCTAAAGCTACCTGGAACTGAAATTGCAATCAACATGCACACAGATTAAATGTGGCCCTCTTCTTAAGCTAATTGATCGTTTTAAAAAGTCAGGCTTGTGTAATGATTTTCACTTTATACTCAGTTATCAAGCATGCCCTTTTATGAGTTTTTCCTCCCCTCCTATAGGACTTCCTGATCCATTTGCTAAAGTGGTGGTCGACGGATCTGGCCAATGCCATTCTACAGATACTGTGAAGAATACGCTTGATCCAAAGTGGAATCAGCATTATGACCTGTAGGTGTTAACAGTGGTATCCAAAGGTTTGAAGCTGATTTTTCTAAAGAGTACAGAATCTCTGAATTCACTAACCTCCAACCCAGGGGTTAAAATGTAGGATAGAGTTTATTAGGGAGAAAAAATATATGCTATTATGCAATGACTCTTCCCCTCTCCCTCAAATCTTAAACCTTTGTTCTTTGCTTTCTAATGAAAATGTCTGTGGCACTGTTTTACACATCATATAGCATTGTTCAGATGGATTTATCGTAATGTTTTGATACTGGCCCCTGTATAAAATAAAAGAAGACAAACTCAAGGATTTTCCCTTGTATTTATTCTTTTTCCCTTTGTTTAATCTTTCTGTCTGTCTGCAGTGTAACTTGGTGATTTTCCTTCAGACTCATGTGCTTTCAGTCTGTTTTCTTGTTCTACTTTTCTTTTTGCTGTTTATTCCCTTTGACTTGCATCATTTTTATGTCCTGAGTGTTACAGCAAAGGTTCCTACACTACTGTGATCTTTTTGAGCCCTTTGCTGTAGTGCATTAAGTGACATGACTAATACATGTTATGTATGTACAATATTATTCTTTTTCACTAATCTCAGGGGCAGGATTTTTCATACAATGTAGTGAGATTTTACAGGGTTTATATTTTTACATATATGTATTTGATTTCCTTCCTTTCCCTTTTGTTCTTTTTCACTATCTCTTTAAAGTGACAGCTAGAAAAAGATCATGACAATTTTGAAAAATTTACCCTCCTTCATCACAGATCCTGGTTTCATTCACAAGACCCTCATTCATTCTCTCCCTGTCACTGTGTTGTGGAAGTATTTCTGCTGGTTAAGCTGCTCCATTATGGATCTATTACATTAGTAGACAATGGCCTTTTCCCTCAGTTTGCAGTTTCACTATACCACACTTATACTGAGGGGTTGAAAATAAGAAAAACTGATGAAGTCCTGTTTTATACCACTACAGCACATCTACATAGGGGTGTCTATACAAATACAAATATTTCTCTATAGACAGGCATTTCATTTGTGTGCCACCTCCTATTTACCAAGGTGCGGAATACTTGTGGCTCCAACCAGTTTCCTGATTCTTCAGCTGGATACTTATGTGAAAGTCTTGGTTTACAATCACATCAGGACTTTCTACTTCCTTGAATGCCTATGTGCATTCATACTTTAGAATTTGAATTCATACTTCAGAATTTTTCTCTGCAATATGGAAGACATTTACATTAGTGATGCACAAAGTCTTGATGATTGAATGAAGTAATATTGTTTTGCTGGTAGGTGTATTACTGTTTTATAGCAAAGGACAGTATTTCTGCCAGAACTTTTTTGAGGTTTTGTAACAGTCAACAGCTATTGTATTGACTCAAGTCCAAGACTGACTCAAGTGTAAGACTGCCCTTCCAGTAATTAGATTTTATCCATGGAAAATGATAAATGTGTTATAATTTTCCACATATAGACTCTAATTGGTGGAAGCTCATCTTGAATTCACCCATGAGTGCGTCTACCCCCAGCTGCTATGGCAGGAAAAATAGCAGTGGGGGGGAAGGGGCCAGACCCCTGTTCCTTGTCCCCATGTGCATGTTCCTGTCCCCAACATGCCTGTGCCTGCCTGCTCCCCACTTCCAGCCCCCGCCCTTCTCTTCCTGCAGCTTGTCCCTCCCCCATACCTGCACCTTCCTTTCCACTCCCTGCTCCCCTTTGCAGTCTGCCTCCTGCATGCAGGCCCTTTCCCCTCCCTCTCACTCCATGCCCACCCCTTGCTCACCGTTTGCAGCAGCTCTGCTTTGGCGCAGTCAGTAGCCACAGTGGTGGCCCAGGCCCAGCCTGGCCAGAGAGGAGCTGTGGCAGCTCCTGGCTGGGCCATATTGGGGCTGGGGGGACCAGAGCAAAAGGTACAGTGGGAGAGGCAGGGGATGGAGATGGGCACAAGCACAAGAGAGGCAGGAGATGGGGGAGCAGGCTGCAGGTATCCCCCCATAGTCTCCCCTGTGCTGCCCCCCCTAGCTGTGTGCCCCCTCCTCCACCAAGTGAACCATTCTGGCTTGGGGCAGGTGGTGGCTCAGCTCCGGCTTCAGCTGTAACCTAGGGCCAAAGCCAGAGCTTAGCTGCTGCCTTCCCTGAGCCAGTACACAAGAGAAGATGATGCTTTCCACCCCCCTCTCTAGCCATGCTGGTTGAGGGGGCAGGGAAACCTCAGTTTGAATTCAAGTAAATATGGCAAAGCTAAGCTCTGCGCGTGAAGCTTTATTCTCATTTTATGAATGAAGTGGTCCAACAGCATTTTAAGTTAGGGTGGGAAAAAATGTTACTATGTTTGCATGTTTAAAGAACTTGAAAATGCCTTTGATTTTTTTTCATGAGCTTTTAAAGCTGTCAAGGTGTTGATTCATGCTAACTAAGTGGATTCTTTACATCTGCAGGATTTTTTTTTCCCCCAGACATGCTTAGTAGCTGTACTTACTAGGCATTGTAATCAGGAGCACTTGTTTTCCAGGCTACTGTGACAAGTATAGCTGGGGAAATGGGTGCCAGGTGTTGAAATATGTTAAATTGGCAGCAGTGCTCGAGTCTTGCATTTTCTTTTATCCATCCCCTTGTTCTTTACTTTTTCTTTCCACCCTGGACCCACTTCTTATCTTTTTGGAAATGCTCATCAGCACACATTAATGAACATCTTTATAGAAATAAAGTGAGTGAAGGGGAAAGCAATGAGAAGACAGTTTTGCCAGCACTCTGAATGTTTCTTACAAGCTTTCCTGTAGGAGGAATAACTGGGTAAAACTCGATGGTGTTTATTTCTGTGCCCAAGTTCTGGGGTAAATCTGCCAGCAGACCAAGGAAGACGAAATGAAGCCAATCACAGCTTAGTTTAGGCATTAAGGGTGGGGGCTGCATTGCAATGGTAAAGCAGTCAGTAGTTGCTTATCAGAGCATCTAATGCTTGCCTTTTTTGGGCTGGGGGAGAGGGAGAGGTGTGGCCTTAAGATCTTGGTGTGACAGTATAGTGAAAAATGAATTAAAAAAAAAAAAAGCCAATTCTTCCTTCTTTCTTTCACGTGCTTTATAAGCAAAATGCACTTTCAGCTCGTTTTGCTCTGTGCTTTACCTTTACAAAATGGAATGGGGTATGCTTGCAATGGGACACTCAAGTCCATATCTTTGAACTAAAGAGAATATTTGCAGTCTAGCATTTTTATGCTGAACAGAAGTAATTATTGGGCTCCTGGCAAATTATTGTACTCAACTGGGGAAATGTATGGTGTCTCTCGTGTACAACATTTAAAACCAGTTACACATTAAAGGGAAGTCTTAACTTTTCATAAAGGGTTTTTATCCCTCATTTTCACTTGTTTTGAATTTTCTGTTCCTGTCTCTCCAAACAAATGTGCATGTCGATTTGTTTAGGTTGGCTATAAATTACTCTTTGGACAGAAGCATTCCTTTTCTCCATTACTAGGATGTATTTTTGTGAGATCTGGAAAAGTTGTCTCCGGGTTTTAATTATGTAACAGACTTAAAAGAGATTACATGCTTGTGTTTCTCACTGCTGTGAAGAATCAGCAATCTTAGAAAAAATAGCTTGTTTTCAGATCTACTATTGTTCTTACATGCATGTATCTTTTTAAGGATATGGTGTCATAGGGGAGACTTTTCTGCCTAAATCCTCTAGTTTGTTTCCCTAAATGATGTAGAATTAAAAAATGCTATGTGTAATTAAGGACCAGTGTCCAATTTTATCTCATTCAGTTATTCAAAAGTAGTCCCCTTTCGCTCCCCTTTTTTCCATTTAACCCAGCTTTTCTCTTTGTTCCTTTACTCAGTTACCTAATATACTAAATACAAGTGTAAGCAACTTCTTTTGTGTTAGGAACAGAAATTACGGTGTCATAGTTCCTGTTTTTAAATGCATAAAACCCAAACTCTATCTTGGACACATCAGTCTCTAGCAAATTTTCAAATATACTTTTATTCAGTTCCAGGTTATCTACTCTTGTTAGTTAGAGATGTCTTAAGTCTGAGGACATTATCCAACTAATTTTCCATCTTGAGGAGCCTTATATTAATTGCATTTAAGGCTCTGTAGAATACATTAATCTATGTAATATTCAAATGAAGCCTGCATTTGTACTTGAATAGAACAAATACCAGGTTTTGGTTCATCAATCCAAAGCAAAATGTTAAAATAAGTAATATATTATTTTGTAGAAAAGCTAGAAGAATATCATAGTAAGACTACTGAGTAGCCTACTGCCAAAGACCGATGATTAAACCATGTAATCTTATGAGGATTATTTGCTTTGCTGTCCCTTTCTGAAAGTAATTGTATAGTGGAATTTAAAGGCATCACACTATTTACCCTAGCAACATGCCATTGCATGGGAATGTTAGTCTCTGACTTAGGACACTTGCGCTGTTACAGGAAACAGCATCCATGCCAAGGATAACAGATGGTGTCTCAATGGCAAAATGCCTACTTGGTTTCTTCTGTGGCCACAGAGTATTGGAAATCACCCAGAGGAAGGTGCAAATATTAAGAAATTTTAGAACTCGTATAATTAAACACAGCACTTCATATTCTTTCTACTGTAAAGTGTTTTGTGACTTTGAGGTTGGAAGGGTTTTTTTGTTGCTTTTTTTTGTTTTAATAGTTGTAATAGGCAATATGCAGTAAAGTTATCTTGGCTACATCATTTCTGTTGAATGCCAAGTTTGGGACTTTTCATATAACAGATTAACACTTGCAGTCAGTCTTTTAATGATAATACATTGGAGGGTTTAGTAAGATGGATCTGTTGTGATGTATTTGTGGAATAATGTTTGAATTAGATTGCCAGTTCTGAGGGACCTTGCATTCCATAAGCCTGATTCAGCCCAGTAGATATCTAGTTCCTGTCTTGGACTTTTTTTCCAGGACTTCTGCACTATGGTAGGAAACATTATTTCTTCCCCCCACTCCTCCCTTTTTGCTGTATGTGGCCCCTAATTCAGATTAAAATGCGACAGGAAAGAGTTGAATTTGATGGAGGTTTAGCTTTCTCAATCAGCTGGGTGTGCGTCAGGAAATATCTGGGAATCCTTCCAGAAAAAAATTGCCAAATACATGCTGTCTGGAGGCAGTTTAATGTCAGTAGAATATCATGCTTGTCCTGGTAGTGTTCCCCTTTCTCCCTTATTTTCCACTTTTGTTGTTGTTGTTTTCCTTATTGCTCATGCCTTTTCCCAAAGTTTGAATAATTATACTTAGCACTGCTGCTATGCATTTTCCATTAAAAGCACTAAAAGCTGTATCTAAGGCTAGCGCCGTGCCCATGATGTATTCTCACGTTTTACAAATGGGAAAATGGAGGCAGAAAGTGAATGACTTGTCCAAAGATGCAAAAGGAATGTGTGTTGAAGAATGAATTAGAAATTGGCAATTCCTGGCTTTCAGTCCTGAACTCCTACCTCTTGATGTTGAATTTCTCTAATGTTTTGGGCAAGAGTGCTGCTGGACTGCGATCACAGAGGTGTGCTGTTGTTTTTTGTTTTGTAATTTTTTTTTAAGTTAGGCAAGATTCCCCTCCCACTCACTTTGTTCTTCTCTCCCAGGCTTGGCTCTGGTGTCACTGGAATAGAAAAGTCACTTGACAGATGGATAGGCTCTGAAAGAAATGGTTCCTGGATGTGGGTAGAGCACTTCAGACAAAATAACAGTTGAACTCTTTGCCTAAAACTTGATTCAAACTTCAGACAGTAATTCAAGTATTGACCTACCTCATTTTGTTAAGAATAGCCTGTTTTCAGAAGATTTCACAAGATCATATTCTTATGTGAAAAATCTATTTTTTTTTAGACTTGGGCAATACAGATAGAGTAGTTTTAGTACCCAGAATTTAGCATGTGCATCCAAACTGGGCTTTTTGAGGTTTCTTCTTCTCTAGTACTATTCATCTGATTTGTACTGACAGATTAGAGGCAAAGGTAGGTATTGAGTGTGGATGACAATGGAGGTGGGAAAAGTTCTTTAACTGCTTTGTTTTTAGATTGGGAATAACTTTTCTAAGTAACAACATTACCAGGTAGGCTTTGTCTTTCAAAAAAAAAAAAAGGAACAAATGTAACTTATTCCAGTAGTGGACTGGCTCCTGCCTTCAGTCTTTAAAGGCCATCATAATATTTTGTATCTGAAATTAGTTACTAATCATTTCCCAACAGATCCACTCATGCTTGTAAGAAGTGTTTTTCCAAAGGAGGACAAACAATCTTTAGTCAATAAAAATCATTTGCTTTGTTTCCTTCACTTAAATGTTTTCTAGAACTAGATTTCCTGGTGCAAAAGTTTAAAGCTAAAAACATCAGTTTAAGCAACTAAACATTTCAAGATTTGATCAACTGTCCTGCATGCTGTTCAAATAGCTCTTGTTAAATGTTATGTAAGAATGTCACTCTATAACTGTCTTTTTAAAAAACATGGAAATACAAAGTTAGTTGTAATAATTCTTATTTCTTATGTGCTTACTTTGGTTCATTAAGCTTTTAAAAATAAAAATAACATACTGTAATCTTCAGTTTCTGCTGTGCAAGGTAATTCCCTGTCCTGCCTTCCTATTTTTTCTTGTGGTTTTTTTTCTGCACCAATTCAGTCTTTAAATTAGTATTGTCAAGGTTGATAGGCCAAAACTCTGACCTCCCTTTAAGAGTTGCATTATCAATTTAATATTTTGCTAACAACATCACTGTGTGGTGTGGTTTATATTTTCATTTCTTTATTCTGTCTGTCTGGCTTTCATATGGTACCCTCAGTTGAAACCTAATACAACAAAACAAGGCTTGGTTTTTGTTGTGTGTGTTGTTTTTCTCTCCACACTCGCAGGCATGCACCCACAGTAACGCTCTTCCCTGCTCTGCTTGTCTGCTCTGTTCTTGTATGCAGGCAGTAAAGTGATATCACCCTGAATCCTGCTCTCTGAAGGCCTGCATACAAGAAAGAAGCAGGGGGAAAGCGTTATGTGAGCACAGATGCACTTTAAAACCCAGCAGGTAGGTCTAATTTTTGGTCTACCAACCTTGACAGTATCATTTTTAACTTATGGCAAAACTGCATTGAAGTATTTTAGCAACGAGAAGGTTAATGTAAACTAGGGACTGGGGTAGGAAGTAATTTTTGATAGTAGTACCTAGATGGCTGAATTAATTCATTTTTAGCTTTTGTTCAAAAGAATTGTTATGCTGCATAATGCCAGAATCTGAGAGTTAGGAATGGAGGACTTTTTCAAGATCTGGAACATGTTTTTTTTAAACTTACGTTCTAATATAAAAAACAAAACTAAGCAATCAGTGTTGAAGTGCTGTTGTAGCTGTGATGGCCCAGGAAGTATGAGGCAAGAATTCTTTGTGGGTGATTTCTTTTATTGGACCAACTGTAGACACATTTTTGGGTTTCATAGTATGCTACTGTGATACCCAACAGCTCATTTAAGTGTTTCCCAACCATACAGTTGGTCCAATAAAAGATATCACCCACAAAAATTCTTACCTCTACACAATTAGATACCATTCATTTTTCCTAGACAGAGTGTTGTCTGTAGTTTGATATACCCCCAATGCTTTTAAATACTCTTTTGAAATAACTTCATATAAAAATGGGTTTGCAAGTAATAGGCTTAAACAAATTTTTACAATAGTATAATCCAGTAAATTCCAGTTTTCTAAGTTTGAGTAATATACATCTGCATTTCTCAAAGCATGCAGCAAAGTATATTTGTAGCTATATGGATATTGTGTGATGATTCACATTGCCTGGAGAGGGCATCCAGTGGGTCTGAACTGAGGTACTGTATGATCTTTGGTTAAAGATTCAGAAATAAGTCTAAAATAGTACAATTGACATGATGGTCTGGGCATTCATGTATTTTGTGACACTAGTTTATTTCCCTCAAGACTCCCTAATTTACCCATGTGTAACTAACATCACCTACCAAAGGACCTCTGAAGTGGAATCACTTTAATTCCAAGGAACTGGAGAGGCAGAATTGAAAGGAAGCAACTAGTATGAGGTTGTAAAAGGAAACAAGTCAACATTGTGATCTTTTTTCCGGCATCTCAGTTATTAACTGAGCACCCACTACTGCTAAAGCAAACACGCTTAACTGTATGTATGTGAGTAGTTCATTATTTTCATGGGACTATGCACATGGACAAAGTTAAGCATGTACATAACTGTTTGAAAGGTTGTGGCTTTGGGGTCTGGTCTGAATGCCACCGAAATCAATGGCAGTCTTTCAAACCACTTTTAATAGACTTTGAATCAAACCTTTAGGCCTGAAAACAGTGAGACTGCTCTGATGAATAAAGGTGAACACATCTAGAACTGATGGTAGGATCCAGGTTTGTAAACTCCTTTATAATCGGCTAAAAACCCTTACTGAAGCATAACATGAGTATCCTCTCTGATGTTGGTCCGCTATCTCTTGCTACTGGCAAATGTTAACCTTTTTCAATGAAAATATTTTTAAAGATTAAAAAGTACTGCATACAATAGCATCCTAAAAATATGCAGCAAACTATCTGTAATGCTACTTTATTTTTTTTCCTGTTTCAGATACATTGGGAAGTCTGATTCAATAACAATCAGTGTATGGAACCACAAGAAAATCCATAAAAAACAGGGAGCTGGTTTTCTGGGTTGTGTAAGACTTCTTTCAAATGCAATCAACCGCCTTAAAGACACTGGTTGTAAGTAAACTAAGTATTACCATTTACTTTGTTTTTGAAGCAAAATTTATGTGAAGAGTTTTAAAAAATAATATGCTACAGTTCTGCTTGTGTGGTATCTTTTTATTTTGAACTTTTAAAGACTTGTATTTACAGCTGGGAATACAAGGGATGACATGCTTGACCCAGTAGATAGTAGTGATTTTTAGCCTTTACCATTTCCTGACCACTTATAACAAAGTTGCAGAGCTTGACCTCACCTAGTGATAAGGAAAGGAGAGGTGGTGATGACCCCAACAGATTTATAATGTATGACTTAGGTTTATCATCTTTATGGACTTCTTGAAGTTTGACTGTTTAATAAAAAAAAATTGGTTCTCTTTCAAACTTTGAATGGTTTGACTGAACTCTTTATCTAGTCATATACTCTGTACTTTGATCTATTACTTGAATATGCACTAGGTGCTCTCAGAGTTGTTTGCCTTATTTTAACTATCACCTTATGGGCTGTAAACATCTGATATAATAAGTCTTAACTATTCCATGTTTCCCAATGGAAAATGGAAACAAATTGACTTTCATGATTGGTTTTGACACACTTTTCTCTCATAACCATTTCTGTGAATTAATGGTATGTTTATATATATTATTTCCCAGTGGAACAAGGGCACGAGTAGAGAGACTGCATGCTGGAAATCCTTATAATAGTGCATTTCAGATGAGGCCATTCTGAAGGTTCATCTTGATCCTAAGTCTTCATTTCATGGCTCTGTTGCATCAGTCTAGTTGCTGACTGTCCAAACTAAACTTATTACAGTTTATATGAAATTGTAAAGGAAGACAAGAGCTACTTCTGGCCTTTGTTAGCCTCAAAACTCTAAATCTTTTCAATTGTAGTCTTTTGGATTCCAAACGTTTACATTGTTTGTTCAATAATTATACTATGAGGAAGCAACTAACGGAGACCTTTAACTTAAAGTTTCAAATCTTATGTTTAGAATTAATGTTCCTTCAGTTTCTGCATTTATAATTTGTGAGGAAATGCTGAACAGTGTATAAAGAACTTCAGCAGTAGTGTGAATTTATCATTTTAAGAAAATGTTAATTAAAAGATGTAGGATGGCTTTTCCTTCTTACGTTAATTTCAGTGGAGACTACTGAACCTGGTAAGACGACATCAAGCCTAGTTAGCATTTCACAAAGCTTGATGAAGCACTTTCAACTTAAAAGAAAAACAAAAAAAAATCTGGGTTCCTGAACATGAAGCAGGAACAAAGTTCTAACTTCTAAATGGTTGTAGGTTGGTCAGTAGTTCAGTGCATAGTATTTTGCTTAATTGCATGGACCTGGTACTGTCTAGTATAAAGGCGTGCTCATTTGATTAATGGTCCAGGTTAGCTATGTCTATGTTAATATTGCTATCTTACAGTAGTATAGGATGGCATGGTGACAGTGAGTTATGATAGCATTTGCTACTCACAAAAGAAAAGATACCAAGTTACTTGTAGCACTGTGCAACAAATCTGGGCTTTCTGAGTACAATCTCTTATGTATGCAAAGAGATATTAGGCAGAAAGTAAGAAGTTGGGGAGGAGAGGACTTCATGAAGTTGAGGAAGAAATATTTAACATAGTAGTATTTTTTGTAATATTTTTTTTCACTTGATGCATGAAAATAGAATGTGTTGCCTCAAACCATTTGATCTTCTTTTGTCTTTGAGTTCTAATGATCGTAAATTAAGCCAAATCCTGCTCCTGCGGTACCTTAGAGTACTCTTTAAAAGCAGAAAATATTCTGCATGTAACGCAAGATGTTTTCTCGTTTTCTAGATCAAAGGTTGGATCTATGCAAACTTGGGCCAAATGACAATGACACGGTTAGAGGGCAGATAGTTGGTAAGTGCAGATTTATATAGTTCATATGAAATAATCTTCTAGATTGTTGTTTTTGGATTTGAAGAATAATGCTTTTAAATTTGATACTGCATACAAAACATGCTTTGCATAACCAACCAGAGAATACACAGAGTTGCTTTGCTTTATTTGGGTCTTGCTACTTTTCTTTTGCTTCTGATGTGAGGCAAACACAATATTTCTTAAATAACCCACATTTTATGAAAAGAAAACTGTCTTCAATACTGCCATGAAGGAGGCCAGAGATGAGCTCTGGTGTAACTTTGTTTTATACTTTGATGTGTTTAGTGTTTCTTTCTACTTAATTTGTCTTACACTTATCCTAGCAGCTATACTGCTTGACTGATCCTTGGTTCTTAAAGCCTTTCTTTTGTTTTTTTAACGTGCTCATTGCATCATATTTGTTGAAAAATAAGCAGCCAGAGACACATGGGGAGAATTTCTCCTTTTGCTGGGCTCTGATATAACGACATCTGATCATTACAAAGGGTAGTCCTGTGTATATCAGTCACCACAGTGTGGATGGGTATGAGAAGGTCTGTGTCCCTGTGGGGGTAGTTTCAGTCTATGAATATTTCAAAGATTAGAAAAAGGATCTGGCCACAACATTTACCTCCTGGGCAGGAAACCTCCACGTTATACACCTGATTCACCTAGCTGGGGAAACCTATCAGTAGGTGAAGGAGCCAGAAAGCAAAAGGAAACCTTGAATTTTTTCTTTAATTCTCCTCAAAAGTCTCTGACCGCTTGTATGACCATGTTATGTCTGCTGAGTTTTACTTGGCTGCAGTGCTTCCAATCGGCAGGCTTTGTGAAGTAGCAAGATAGCATTAAAACAGGTTGCATAATTGGATCAGGTGGTGATAGAATCGTTGGTATCATTAGCGCGTTACTGATGCTTTCATCCATGTTAACATATCAGTTTTCTGAGCAATAAGAGATCAAACAGACACTTGTAACGACTCCTTTCAGTGTGCTGATTGAGTATCCATAGTTACCAGCTGACAAGGTGTGTTAGTACTGCTTAAAAGTACTGCTTTTAAATAGCGTTCAGCTCTTTCCTGAGAGAACCACAGCATTTGGACCTCGGTAATATCTGTACATTATGTTTTGATATCTTATTTTTAATAAGCTCTTACTTAAGCCACTGTTATCTCTAATTTGGGATACTCAGTGGCTTTGCAGAGACTCCTTCCTTTCTTTTATTGAAGATTGCTCTTGTTAATGTCCTTAATTTGTTTATCAGCCTCATGAATGCAGTTTTGCGAACAAGTGATTCTGAGAAAATTAGGTGATCCTAAATATGGTTGCTGGACAGTGGAGGGAAGAAGGCTCTTAAATTAAAACAAAACTGGTTGAAATGCAGAAATTGGATTAGATTTGTAAGGGGTGAAGTGGCCTGGATTAGTTGATAGAAAGCAAGCACACCTCCAAGTGGGGCAATGAGCAAGCGGGAATCTGTGCCTTAGGTTACCCAAGTGGGGGAGAGAAGGGTGTTACTTCTGGGCAGTGAATACAGAGTCCCTGACGGGTCTCAATCTGGTAGCTCTGTTTTGTGCCACCATTTTATTTCTGATGTTGCATTACAGATAAAATGTTATAAAATGAAGCCTTGCAAAATGTTCATCCTCAGATAAGCAGAGAGGATGTAATTGTTTTTGTTTAGTTCAGTTTTATCTATTTGTATTGCTTGCCAAACCTCCTGTATGGGCAGCAAGTTGAACTTGCAACATGTATGTTTGCAAACCAGGATAAATCAAGCATTCTGTCTCTAAAGAATTTAAAGGTGCCTCTGTCTCCCTAATCATAACCATTTTGTAATTTTAATACTCATTAAAGAAGTTCAGCAGTAATAATGCTGTCTAGAAATGTGATAATGCAAGCAGGTGCCACCTGAGCTATGTAGCTCAGGCCACGTCCTACTATCCTGAACTTCAAGATGCTTTTGGCTGAGAATTTGGTGTTGGTCCTGGTGAAGCTGCCAATTGTGATTCATTGTTTTGTAGTTTTGTGATACGGACAGAAATCCATTTTGAGCAGATTAAAATCCTTAAACCTATTTTCACTTTAGATATGAATGGAATATGAGCTCAGAAGTCTGGAGGTACTTCTAGGTCATACATTAAGCAGAAAATTCTAATTTAAAAATTCCAGATTATAATTATAAGAACAAAGATTTTCCACAAAACGTGATTTCATAATTGCAGAAAACCAGTGCTTTAAACCGTTTGACTGCAGCCTGTTATACAGCTGTAGCATGTTTATAAATGTCTGTTGACATAAATCCTGGGTTCTGATAAATGATTCACAATAAAGACTTAAACATTTAATTTTTTACTCTTCTCTGATATTTGAGTTTAGTTTACTTTGATCCTTAATTGACATTGCATCTAGTACTTCTAATATTTACAGTGCCTGTTTTTGTGCTGAATTTTGCCACACATTCAAACAGTTACTAGAAGGTATCTAAACCTTAGTGGAAACCTTGTGTTTTAGGATGCTTAACAGGAGCAGTCTTCTGGGTTTTTTCAGGTTCTCTTAGAAGTCTGAAACTGATGTTGCACCATCCTACTTGCTGCCCTTGCCATTCTGCGTGAGGATGCATCTCCTTGACTGCTCTCAGACCAGCTGTACAGCTTTACACTTTGTTGTAGTCTGCCTTGCATAGGAAAGATGAGTTATGGCTTCAGGAGTAGCTTCTTTTTCTTACCTTACTGTATGCTTATACCCTTGAAAGTCAGCTTTTTTCAAAGAAGTACACAGAGTATTATCGGTGGGAATCATACGCTGACCCTTCATAACTTTATTGGAGCTATAGGGAGGAAAAATATTTGGAAAATTGTTCAATTTAGTCTTCCTGTTAGTTGTACCATTCCCTTCCAAACTTAAGTGTGATTCTGGTTCCACTGCAATATCTTTAATTACCTTGTTTTATTTTAATAGTCAGTCTTCAGTCCAGAGACCGAATAGGCACAGGAGGACAAGTCGTGGATTGTAGTCGTTTATTTGATAATGATTTACCAGATGGGTAAGCAAATACCACTATGATGTAAATACATAAAACACAGCACATGCAGCAAGTAGAATTATTTTAGCTTGAATGTTTGTAGTAATGAGTAGTCAGTAGGAGAACAGACTGATTTTTGTCTCTTCAGATTCATGTGTCAAGCAACAGAGCATTTAATTTAGGAGCTTGGAGGTATACCAGACACTGACTTAACTTCAGAATGTTGCTTAGACTGGGTGTTAATAGCATGAGTTTAGCCTTTGTCTGTTTTTGAGGGGAACAGTAAGTGCATGCAAACTGCAGACTCTCCAAAAATGAAAGACAGAGCTGGGCATCTTTGAATTACAGAACACAATTCCTTGCAGGAATACAACAATCTGCTGTAAAGGTTGCCACATAATCTACTAATCAGTAGTACCTCTGTAATAAAAGTATACTTTGTCCCCTTTAAATTATGATAAAGAAAAGAGCATTGTACAAGCTAATGGAGACTTTCTTGCTGTACTTACCTGGCAGAGGCTGGGTTTAGGATTCTTGTTCCCCATTGAGAGTTGATGACATCATTAACACCTAAAACAGTTTGGGGAGCTTGGAAAAATGCTCTGTTTTAGATCCTTCTGCTGTCATCAACCTTTGCAGAGAAAAGACAGATCCTTGAATATGATTCTTGGCAGGTAAAGACAGGAGGAAGTGATTTTTTTTTTTTGATTTTTTTTTTTCAAATATTTCGCCTTTAAATGATCTCTTAAGTCCTCAACAGCATTCCATTGTTGATTTGGAGTCTGACAGTGTAAAGAGAATTCTTAAAGCTGTATAATTAACTTTCAAGTCTTTCCTATCTAAATCCTGCTTAATTAAATGCATCAGTGGAAGCTACCTGCAAGTGAAAGGGAAAAAAGGTGGCTAGTGGAAAAACAAAGTCCTGTGATTTAAGGATAACAAGTAGAGGAAAGTGGTTCGTACCAGATCCTGTATATGTTGTCTTAGGTCACAGAATTTAGTAGCACCAGCAAGTTTCTAGTTCTTTGTCTTAACTTGACCAATTGTGTTAAATCATTAGTTCAACAAAATTGTGAGGAATATAGTTCATAAGAAAAGTTGGAGGGAATCATCTTGTGGCCACAGCTGTTGGGAAACAGTCTTCCTGCCCTGAAATCTTTGAGATTTGAATTAATTTTTCCTCTCATCATTGTAATGAAACTGAAAACTTTTCAAGCTTTCTAAAACCAATGAGACCATGCAGAGAAGAGCCAATCACTACTTGTAAGTCAGGGGTGGGCAAAATGTGGCCCGCAGGCCAGATGCAGTGTGCCAGGCCATTCTATCTGGCCCATGGGGCCCCTAAAAATTTAGAAAATTAATATTTATCTGCCCCTGGCTGCCATCATGTGGCCCTCAATGGCTTGCCAAAACTCAGTAAGCGACCCTCTGCTCAGAATAATTGCCCGACCCTGTTGTAAGTGCACTCCAGGGATGTGAGACATCATTTTCAAGGCTTTGCTTTACCATTCTCTCATACTCCAGATGAGTGGTTCTCTAATGCAGGGCCGTCCAACTGGCAGCCTGCAGGCCCTGTAAGGTGCACAAGGGGTTAGGTTGCAGCCCCCTGGGTGCTACTGCCTTTATAGCTCAGGCTGCAAGGCTCTAGGCTCCCCGTCCCTCCTTCGGCTTTCACTGCCTGTCCTTGCCCCAGGACAGCCGGGGAGGGAGGGGATGCCTGGACGTAGGTGCACTGTGTGGGGTTTGCTCCGGGTGTGGCCTGGGGGGGCCCGTATCTTGCCCTGGTGTGGTCTGCAGGTGTGTGGCTTGTGGGCCTTCAGCCCCTGGTGGCTTAGGGGTTGGACAGTCCTGTTGTAAAGGTCTGTTGGCTATACCGAGGGAGGGAGTGTCAGTGTCTCTCTTCTCTCCCTCTCTGACACTCATCCACACACACCCATGCTTCAGAATTGTACTTTAGACTATGGAAACCTGTTTCCTACTGAAAGCTTCATTAAAATGGTATGCTCCCTCAGAAAATTTCAGCCAACTGGTATTTTTCATTGCAATTCCTGACCAATTCTGTTTGCAACTAGATTCAGCTATGAAAGCATGAGTGACATTTTCATACTTAATATGAGTGACAGTAATGTAAAATCTATCTACAGGTTTTCATTTGTAATACAAGAACATAGGTTTGTCAGCATGTCATATACAATAGAAATGATAGCAAAACAGTTGTTTATGAGCATTAGCCAAAATATATAAAGCTGAGTGCCCTGTCAAACAAGTGCTTCATAAAACTTTCTTAATAACATTATTTAGACTTAATTTCAATTTGAATAGTTGAAGCACAACATTGTTAATGATTTACTTGGTTTCAAGAAAAAAAGCATTTTATATTAATTCTGAGAATTGAACTTTCACTGTTTTCTGCAGCCTTGTTTGGCTCACATATTTCATAATAGTTAAATGTCTTCCTGGGCTGGCATTTGTATGGAAAACATTTTGTGCCCTGGTTTCCTGGAAATACCACTCACTGCCTTATCTCTCAATGTCTGAATTCTAGCTGGGAGGAGCGGAGAACTGCCTCTGGAAGGATCCAATATTTAAACCACATCACACGAACAACTCAATGGGAACGGCCAACACGGTAAGCAATCAGTGTTGCCTGCTTTGCAATTAAAATAGTAAAATCCATGGTACATAATTAACATCACAAAAAATTAGGCCTCAGGTATTTCAGACTCGGCTCACCTCACCTCACTTTCCCCCCCTGATAATAGTAATTTTGACTGGATTTCATGGTACTGATTTTACATCATTGCTTTCTGGTTGATTGACTGTAGTGGAGCTCTGTAAGCACTGGCCTTTCCAAGCTGGATTTGGAGGAAAAGGGACTCTGAGCAGTTGACAGACTACCTGATGCTATAACAGCATGGCCAAAACTCCTTAAGCCACTTGCTAGAAAAATGTAGCAAAAGCATTTTTTTTAAATCAGTACCATCAGCTCTGCCTATAACATCAGTCATGTGTCAACAGAGGTTTCCTTAAACCCAAATAGATCTTTGTATTATCCAAGAAAGAAGTCTCTGTGCCTGTCTCCTGGACTTTTCTGCAGGTTTCCCTCCTAACCCTCCTAAGCTTTTTGTCCTTTGGAAAATCCATAGTTTCATAGTTTCTAGGGTCAGAAGGGAACTGAGTAGATCATCTAGTCCGACCCCCTGCCATGGCAGGAAAGATTACTGGGGTCAAACGACCCCAGCAAGGTG